CTGTGGTTCTTTTAAATAATGAGCCAGTGTATTCTCGAAGGATTTCACGGGCAGTATCCAATGGTTGCTGTAGCTTTTTTGGGCTGTTTGGCCGTGTTCTGGAGGTTTTTCTTTCTAATGTTTTGCAAGTCTCTGTGGCCGGCATCTTCAGAGGAACAGGAGTAAGAACACAGAGTTATGACTCCTTTTCTCTGAAGATGCCAGCCACAGAGACTGGCGAAGCGTTAGGAAGAAAAACCTTCAGAACACGGCCAAACAGCCCGAAATACCTACAACAACCAATGAGCAAGTGGTTTGGTGGTTTGCTTCTCAAAGGGAAAAAATGTTTGCTTTTTCAGCGACAGTGTTCACGCAAGATCTGAACGCACCAAAATAGCCCTTCTTGTCATCTTTGTGCAGGGGAGTACGAATCTTGTGGGACTTGAAAATGGCTTGTCAAGGTGTCACACTGATGTTAGACAGCCTAAATCCATGAGCATTAAGAACTGAGCAAATACTCTTTTCATCCCTCATAAAAACATCTGCTGCTCTTTTTTTTAAAAAAGTGAACGTCCTGTTTTGTGAAACTCAGACAACTTTTATACACTATATAGAGAAAGCCATAAAGCAAAGCAAAATTGTGGTGGAGGGTATTGTGATGTCTGCCTCATGGGCAGAACATGGAAGTCTGTGTTAGAAAAATTGTGTCAAGGGGTGCATTAGAAGTCGAATTCAACTTGTATTGAAAAGGGTAGGATGTCTTCCTTTCAGGCATGTTACCCAAAGAAACTCTCATACACTGATGGATACGTTTGGCTCGGCACTTTCCCCTCTGCACATCCTAGAATCTGGGACAGCTTCAGTTTTCACTCAGCTTTCTCCCAGTTCCATTTTGTTGAAAAATAATAATAAATGTGCTGAGTGCGCCTTGAAAAACCATGGTATCTGTGTATTCGGGAAGGCTTTCACGGCTGGGATCTAATGGTTGTTGTGGGTTTTTTGGGCTCTTTGGCTGCTTTCTGAAGGTTGTTTTTCCTAACATTTTGCCAGTCTCTGTGGCCGGCATTTTCAGAGGACAGCACTCTGTGCTCTGGTGTAGTTTGCTTGGGAGTGGAGTATTTGGTATCTGTCCTTATGCTTAGCTTGCTCCTGTCAATCCAGGTAGGTTGGTCAAAATTCCACTCCATTCATGCCCAGGCAGGCTTCTCCTACAGGTGTAGCTCTGGTACCCAGGATCCAAATGCACCACATCTAATTAACAACATACTAGGCACTATGCGTTAGAAGCAAGGGAGGGAGGGAGGGAGGCAAAGGATGGTTGGGGGGGAAGAAAGAAAGAGACACTGTTAGTCCAGCGCTCAGCTACAGCCACCATCCCAAATAAAATATGCTGAAATCATAACATGGCTTGCATTACCCAACCTTAATAGTGTTGACATTGTTTGCCTAGCCTTTCCCAACTTCTGAATGCTCTCCTGGACTCACCGGTAGATCACAAGTGCCTTTTTTCCACTAAGAAAAAGGAAGCGTGAACTGCTCCATTTAGCCGCACTGCAGACATGTCCCAAGACCACCAGATGGCAATGAAATGAACAAGGTTTTCCCTTGGTCATAATTCTGAATTTCCACATCTTATGGCAGGAAAGTCAATTATAGCAGCTTTCCCCTCCCGCCTTTACTGTAATAAAATGTCATTGAATAATGTGGATGTTTATTTGTTGTGGCAGTTGATACTTAACACCAATTTGCACGTTTGGAAGAGATAATGACAAGTTTGAAGGAGGTAGAACGATCATTCAAGATATAATTAAACAATTGAAATAGTAAGAAATAATTATACGAACACAGAAACAGGGCAGGTGATGTCTAACATGTACCCAGAGACACACAGGAGTCATTTAGCGTTGGATTAGCTGCTATGTCAAGACACTGAATGAACTGGACCTGTTTACCCGTGAGAAAAGAAGACTGAAGGGAGACAGGATGGCACATATCAAATACTTGTAAGATTGTCCTACAGAGCAGGGGCAGGATCTGTTCTCGATCATCTCCGACTGCAGGACACACAAGAATGGGTTCAAGTTGCAGAAAGCCACATTTAGGCCGAATATCAGGAAAAACTTATTAACTGTTAGAGCAGTATGACAATAGAACCAATGACTTAGGGAGTTGGTGAGCACTCCAAAGCGTTCAAAAAGAAAATTAGACAACCATCTATCAGATCTGCTTTGATATGAATTCCTGCCTTGAGCAGGGGCTTGGACACGATGGCCTCAGAGGCCCCTTCCAACTCAAATTATCCAAGGATTCTAGGATTCTGTAAGTTGGTGCTTACAGCAGCCACACCTTCTCCATTCATAAATTCTGTTCGCTCCATCTAAGTGGGTCAAATGACATAGGACAGTATTACTTTTGAGACTGTTATCACCTCTGATAAGTGATCAACTGTGTTGAATATTTCCTTGCATCCTGCTCTCCACCAACCAAAATCCTTGCACACGGGAAACTAGCATCGTAAGGAGGAGGAAAGAGACAAGGGAAAAGGAAAAGATGCCAGGAAAAGGGAGAAATCATCGCAACGCCAGCTGCCCTCTCTCTCTCTCTTGGTTAAGGCGGCCAACTCTCACCTGATCTCCCTGACGCGTCTGACCTCCTTGTATCAGTCAGTCACAGGCCGGTACTTTTCCATCCAGGTTGGCAGCCCAGAACAGACAGACCGTGATGGGACTTGCCAGTTCCAACCTCCGCACACCGGGGGGGGGGCAGCTGACAGTGTAGTGCAGCAGCTTCAGTGGCCATGAATAGGAAAAGCAAGGCTTGCCCATCTGAAATCTGTAAGTTCAGGATACTTAACCCTTCACTGAATGCAGCTGGCAGTCCCTGTAAAGCAATCCTTAAGCCTGGTTTCCCCTCGTATTTTTTGGTCCCTTTTTTTCCCCTGTCCATTCATCAACTGAAATGTTTTGCTTGGGTTTTTCTTTTTCTTTTTTTTTTCCTGCAGCAGGTAGAAGCTCCTTCGACTTCCAACCCAAGTCAAGAATTCAGGACAGTAAGTTAATATTATAAATAATATAAAGTTAACCAAGTCCCCTCCTCCTTGGGAAGAAGGCCGCATAGTAAAAATACAGGCAGCCTCAAGGCATGGATTCACAGCTCCCAGAGGTTTTATGGATACCACAGAGTGCCAAGAAGACAGCCTGAACTTTCGGGTCACATACCAGCTTGAATGCTATTTAGAAGCAAAAATGATGAAGCTGACATTGTACTTTGGACACATCATACACAGACTGGAAAAAAAAACAGACAGATCAAATAGGTTGGGTGGCCCTTGTACATATTTTGAAGATAAGTGTGGCTGATACCTTTCTTCAGCCGCTAAAATATCCCAGGCAGAAGCTAACTTTTGACTCCACAGGAATTGTATTCTTGGGGGCCTGCAAAAAAACTTTTGACTCCACAGGAATTGTATTCTTAAAGGCCACAAGGACCGGTGATCAGTGCACACAAAAAACTAGCTAACAACACCCATCAACCACAGTGACAGATCATCTCCTCCCCCCCTCGTCACAACAGTACACCCATAACAAAAACACACCCTGATCACCATAATCACCCAATCACCTGAAAAGGACAAAAAGCTGATCCCACAGCTATAAATACTCAACTATCCCACAAAATTGCACCAGAGCACAGACAGAGTTCTGACTCCTGTCCTCTGAAGATGACGGCCACAGAGACTGGCGAAGCGTTAGGAAGAAAAACCTTTGGAACATGGCCAAACAACCTGAAAAACGTACAACATCCACAGGAATTCTTTATTAGCCTGGGTTTTAAGGAGATAGGTACAGAAGAAACAAACAAAAAAAATTCCAAAACTCATGGGCAGATTTCCTGGTTTAAGTACGTTCCACAATGGGGGCTACAGAACAAACTCAGAGGAAGCATGTTTCAGATTTCACACCGGGCAGGGCGGATCACTGCCCACTGTCCTTCCCACATCCACCTGACAAAGGCATACCAGTAACCTAGCAAGTTTGGGAGGGGCTCTTCTGATCGACGCTGCCAGAAGTGAAATCTTTGGGAAGGACAAAACCGCTGGGAAAAGCGGAAGGAAGAAGGAAAAGAGGAAGACTGAACATGAGATGGATTGAGTCAGTAAAGAAACCTATGACCTTTGCTTTGTACAACCATAGTAGGGCAGTGAACGACAGGGCCTTTGGGAAGCTGATGCTTGTGTATGGATGCATGCATATATATATGTCTGCATACACATATTCATACTGCAACTTCAAGTGGTCTTGAAGAGAGCTTACTGTCTTCATAAAAGAATTTTTTTAAATCACTGTTTCATAGGGTTGGAAGAGATGAGGACAGGGCAGAAAAACGAGTCTTCTTATCTCTGATCGCTGATTGGAAATATGGCCTGTGGTTTTCAGGTCTCCCTCACTCATCCATCCGTAAACGAAAACACGTCCATAAAAATGCGCCCCCAGCAAGTGTGGTATCTCAGGGGATCATTCGCTGGCAAACAAAGAGATCTGGAAAGAACTTCCCAAGGGCAAGAACTCGAAAAACACTGGCTCTGTGCTTGGTTATTTTTGGCCATAGCTGCCCGAGGTATTCAGGAAAAGTTTAATGACCGCAGGTTTAAATAAGGGGGTACAAGTCAATATCATGGAAATCCCAGGTGTTCCAAAGCACAGCATCAGTACAGCATTCATGGTCCTCTTTGATGGATTCTCTCTCCTGACCTTAATGACACCACGGAGAAAAGGGAGGAAGGGAGGCCAAAAGTGATCTCTGGTGGAACTACATTGAAACTCAGAGCAAGATAGGAAACCACATCAGGCAGCAAATCTCTAGGGAGCCTAGAACACTAAGCAGGGGTCAGGAGGATATGAGGAAGTATCAGCAACAATGCAGGCCAACGGCTGAAAGAGTCCTTGCGGCTTTTTTTACAAAAGCTGGATGCCTGGACATGATTTGGAAGCGTCGGATACAGAAGCTCTTCCAAAACCTACCTTTTGGTACTCATCTCGAGATCTCAGGGCCGCCCCCATCTGTTCCGGGGAGAAAGTATAGATGGCGGATCGATACTGGGTGCCGACATCATTTCCCTGACGCATCCCTAAGAAAAGAAAAGAAACAGGAAGGGGTGGGTGGGTCAGCCCTCCATCTGAATGCTCAGAGGGCGTAGCTATCATCCATCCATCCATCCATCCATCCATCTAATTTTAGCGCTCTCCTCCTCTGCTTTTAGAAAAGCACACCCTTTCTACATTGTGCGCCCACAGTTAACATTTTTGTCAAGAGCACCCCCCTCCTGCTTAAACCAACATGAAGTGGGGGGGGGAAATAACTGCGTATTATGCTTTGATGACATCACGGGCAGCCAAGAACAGCTGAAAGGCATTAAGGCAAATCAAGTGTGTGATCGCATTATGTGTCGCTTTCCAATTTATTGAAATCAAGAGGCTCCTAAAATATTTATTTGGCACCGCAGAATCATTCAAAGAATCCAACAGTTAAGAGGCCTTTCAAATCTCTCCGTCTAATGAATGGAGAGTGCTTATCTGAAGAGGTGGTTCTGCACCCTTGCAGAAGTTGGCAAGGTTTCCCTACAAGCCTGATACGCTTGAAATTAACAAAAAAAAAAGGGGGGGTCCTGAACTGGCACTTGGTGAGAGAGGGGTAAGGCTCATTTGTTGCATCAGGAAAAGAGACTGCAAAGTACACTGATCAGCCACCACATTAAAACCACTGACAGGTGACATGAAACAGCACTGCTTATATTGTTATAGTGCTACCTGTCAAGGAGTGGGATGCATTAGGCAGCAAAGTGAACAGTCAGTTCTTGAAGTTCTTGTGTTGGAAGGAGGACATAGGGGTGCATGAAAAGATCTGAGGGACTTTGACAAAAGCCAAATAGAGAGGGCTAGATGAGTGGGCCAGAGCATCTCCAAACTGGCAATTCTTATGGGGTGTTCCCAGTGTGCAGTGGTTAGCGCCTACCAATGGTTGCGCAAGGCAGGACAGCTGGTGAACCGGCGTCAGGGTGATGAGCACTCAAGGCACACTCCTATCCACGGGAATAAAAGCTAGCCCGTCTGTTCCGATCACACAGAACTATTATTGTAGCCCGCACTGCTGAAAAGCTTAATCTGGCCATGATAAAAAGGTGTCAGAACACACAACACATTGCAGTTTGCTGCGTATGGGGCTGTGTAGCTGCTGACCGGTCAGGGCCCATGGTTACCCCTGCCCACTGCCCAAAATGTCTACAATGGGGATGTGAGAGTCAGAACTCGACTATGGAAAAACGGAAGAAAGTTGCCTGATGTGATGAATCATGTTTTGAGTGTGTTATTTAACTGGCAGAAGAGAAGGCAGCCAGATGCACAATGGGAAGAAGGCAGGCTGGCGGACGCAGCGTTATGTTCTGGGCCATGTTCTGCTGGGAAACCTTGGGTCCCGGCATTCATGCAGATGTTTCTTTGACATGTACAGATTTTTGGTATCACCTGGCAGGACAAAGTTCCAAATAGAGTAGTTCTAGAACGAGCTGGAATTTTTAGCATGTTTACATTACTGAAACAGTGACGTCTACCTTGGCTCGGGCATGTCGTGAGAATGGCTGATGGTCGGATTCTAAAAGATCTCCTTTATGGAGAATGAGTGCAGGGAAATCGCCTTAGAGGAAGACCACAGCTGCGATACGAGGATATCTGCAAGCAGGATGTGAAGGCCTTAGGAATGGACCTCAACAGATGGGGAACCCTGACATCTGACCGTTCAGCCTGGAGGCAGGCAGTGCATCACAGCCTCTCCCAATTTGAAGAGACCCTTGTCCAGCAGGCCAAGGCCAAGAGGCAGTCCCGAAAGCAGCCAAATCCGGGAGCTGGACAGGGGACCGATTGTATTTGTCTTCAGTGTGAAAGGGATTGTGTCTCTCTCGAATTGGCCTTCTCAGCCACAATAGACGCTGTTCCAAGACCTCCATACAGAGCACATTCCCATAGTCTTTCGAGACTGAAGGATGCCTAAACTAAAAAACCACCTACCTAGAGATTGTTGGAGACTACACACAGCCCTTAATGGCAGTGGTGTTCCTTGATGGCAGTGGCCTCTTTCAGCGGGATAACGCATCTTGCCACACTGCACAAACAGTTCAGGAATAGTATGAGGAACATGACAAAGAGTTCAAGGCATTGTCTTGGCCTCCAAATTCCCCAGCTCTCAATCCAACTGAGCCTCTATGGGACATGGTGGAACATCAAATCCAATTCATGCAGGCCTCACAACTTGAAGGACTTAAAAGGATCTACTGCTGACATCTTGCTGGCAGACGCCACAAGACAGGTTCAGAGGTCTTGTGAAGTCCACGCCTCGATGCATCAGAGATGTTCTGGAAGCACGAGAAGGACCTATATGATATTAGGCAGGCGGGGGTTTAATGTTGTGGCTGATCAGTGTGGGAGTGAGAAAGGGCTGCTGTGAGAATTATGACTGAAAGTACGGGTGGACGCACTCCAGGGATTTGTTATTTTGCTGAATGCTGGCATGCAACGTTACCCCAGAAAAGCAAGAAAAACGGATGCAGCAGAAGACATCCATTGAATGAAACAATAAGATAGGATGACTGATCATAACCATCCTTTTTGTGCTGTTGGGAAGAAAACATACCAAAGGAAGGCCTATCAGCGCTGATGTGTCATCTTAAAAACACCATGTCATCAACATGCCTCCCTTCACCATTCCCCCCCACCCCCAAGGGATAACTCAATCAATTCACCCATGGCAAACCAGGCCTTATCTTGTTTAACCAAAGAGGGAAAATATACAGGGAGGATTATGTTCAGGAATTTAAAAAGAAGAAACATGTATTTATTTAGATATATTTTACCCTTCATGCAGCCAGAAAATATACCCAAGTAACTTACGGTACATAAAGGAGGACCTATGATCAAGGCAATCCTTAAAGTAAGAGTTCATTAGGAAGTGGTCCTTCAGAACTTACACACATCTACACAGAGAAGGCACATCTGTTTCCAAAGGTAGTCAAAAGTCATGTTTAAAAGAGCCTTCCTCAGCGTTTTAGCTCAGAGATGTCAGGATTACTTTGAAAAGGCTCTGTTCCATTCTAACTGCTTCATTCCATGTATAAAACCAAGTTCAATTAGGAAGGGAATAAGGCAGCAGAGGGGGAATGTTCCTGAAAAATATTCATGAGGAAACTGACCTTTTAAAGCTTTAGGCGAAGCACTAGCATTTTATGTTGCAGCTGGAAGCTAACACGCAGCCAAGGCAGCTGCCTGAGCACTGGATGGATATGGAATTCATTTCATACTTGGTATGAGATCCTTTAAAAAAGGGAAGCAAGGCTGAGCCTTTCAGTAATATCTCCATCAGGTACCTCTGTTTTCTTCGCTCCATAAGACACACAGACTTTCCACCCCCCCTGTTTTGTGGGGGAAAAGTGCGTCTTATGGTGCGAAAAATACGGTACTTCATGATAATGAAAGAAGTTAAGACACTTCAGAGCCTGGAGGAGAGGAGAGAGAACAGCCACCTAGGAAGGGCTGTCATCCTTTCCACCAAAAGAGTGGACAAGGTACCTGGGAAAGATGCACAAGGTTACAACCACACTTATATTATCAGCTGTGATGGGAATATCATGGCATGAAGTCTTCTGTTGTGATGACTCCTACAGCGGGGAGGTAAGCTCCTTTCAGGCTATGGAAGTTAGGAAGTTGCTAAAGCTAGCAGCCTAACTCTCGGCTTTACGTCATGCGAGATTACAGTCAGAGAAAATCTGCTAAGCTGTTCAAATCATGGTTTTCTTAAAGAGAAGTTGACATTTAAGAGGGTATCAGACAGGGGAAGCCAGGCATAGTATATTGGAAATGCTGCTAAATGTCACATGACCCAAAATTTCGATCGTGGAATTGAGGTTCTACCAGACTGCAGACTGACTGCGAATCATCTGAATATGGGGTGTACAGTCCATACTTGATTTCTATTCCCACACAATGCAACCATGTCATTATGGCATGACTTGTGTATATCTCAAACAGCTACCAGTTCAAAAGAGGCCTCTTGTAACTATCAACATTTTCTAGATCTTGATAGCTTTCAGAGCAAGTACATGCCAAATGAGTTTCAAAACAGTGTCCTGTTTCTTGATGTATAATTCTACGAATTCTGATGCTTTCCCAGAACCAGGACAGAGAAAATCATCGCGTTCCAACCCCTTTTGGTGTGAATGTGCTACAAAGGCATTTGAGGAATCACATCCACCACTTCTGATCTTCTCCCTGTAAGAGACAAGAACCTAATGGAAGCATTTTCAGCCTCTCTCCATTCTGAAAAGATCCTTGTAACAATGGAGATAAATGAATACAGTCTGAAACCCACTTGGCATGGTACTGTGGAATTGTAAAAGAGCTTTTACAGTGGTAGTGAAAATGTATCTCTGATTTAAATAGTTTTCTGCAGCCGTCACATGGCTTCTGATATATATTTGTTGTTTAGTCATTTAGTCATGTTTGACTCTTCGTGGCCCCATGGACCAGAGGATGCCAGGCCCTCCTGTCTTCCACTGCCTCACGGAGTTGGGTCAAATTCATGTTGGTCGCTTCGATGACACTGTCCAACCATCTCATCCTCTGTCGTCCCCTTTTCCTCTTGCCTTCACTCTTTCCCAATATCAGGGAGTCTTCTCTTCTCATGAGATGGCCAAAGGTTTGGAGCCTCAGCTTCAGGATCTGTCCTTCCAGTGAGCACTCAGGCTTGATTTACTTCAAAATGGATAGGTTTGTTCTCCTTGCAGTCCAGGGGACTCTCAAGAGTCTCCTCCAGCACCACAATTCAAAAGCATCAATTCTTCGGCGGTCAGCTTTCTTTATGGTCCAGCTCTCACTTCCACACATCACTACCAGAAAAAAACTATAGCTTTCCGATCTGAGGTGCCCATCTTCGAGCGCCATATCTTTTAGCCTTTTGTTTCTGTTCATGGGGTATTCTTGGCAAAGATACTGGGGTGGCTTGCCACTGCCTGCTCCAGGTGGATTGTGTTTAGTCGGAACTCTCCACTATGACCTGTCCGTCTTGGGTGTCCCTGCATGGCAT